GTTTCCCCATCTGAAAATGAAAGGTGGGAAAAATGTCCTTGAGAGCAAATGACTCTTGTTTTCTCTGTGTTCATCTCATTCCCTCCATAATCCTACAGAGTCTGTGTTATTACAACATTTATTTTATATTATAGTTTAAAGTTAGTATAGTAAAAATTATTATATGATCATAGTTCTTACGTTATATACTTTGGGCTCTATTATACCTAACTGATTGTCCCAGGGGAGGAAAGATCCCCAAGCCCAAGCCCCACCTAGCGGCTCACGCAGCAGCCAGTTGCTTGGGTCTATCCCAACATTATCCAAAGCCAGGCCTCTGGAGGTGACCCTCTCCCTGGGCCCCCTTTCTCCCAGCGACAACAGGACCTATGGCGTGGCGCTGGGACGGCACAACCTCTACATTGGGGAGTCTGGCTCTCTGGTCGTCAGTGTCTCTCTGATTGTGGTGCATGCGAAATGGAACTCCAGCGATGTCTCCAAAGGGTTCGTTTCTGTCTGGGTGCACTTGGGGGTGAGGTTGTCAGGGAACACATGGGGGTCTCACAGAGGCAAGGGTCTCAACTCCACCACATGCCCTCTGCTTCTTCTATAGGGAGGGAGAAGGAGCTCTGGCCTCTTAGATGTGGAACCAGCTCCAAAGATGTCTGGGGTGGGGATGTGACCTGGGGAGGGAGAAGCAAAGACTGCCAGAGTGACCTGGGTTTGCTACCAGTCAAGCCTGCAGGGACCCTGTCTGCTGAGCATGTATCTACTTCATGCCAAGTCCTGGGGACACAGGGACAGTGCTGTCGACCCTGTGACTGTCCCTGGAGTAGGACACAATCTCTCCTGCCTTGCTCCTTTCAACAAGGTCCTCTGCATTTTCAAACATGCCCTGGGACCCTGCCACTCAGAGCAAGCTGGGGTAATGAACAGGGAATGATGACAAGGTCTCAGAGCCCTCCAAAGCCCCACAGGGCAGGAAAAGTCAACCCTGTCCTCACGCTCTGCCTCTGCACTGACCCAGGTACGACATTGCCCTGCTCAAACTGGCTAACCCCGTCTCCCTCACCGACAAGATCCAGTTGGCCTGCCTCCCTCCTGCCGGCGCCATTCTACCCAACAACTACCCCTGCTACGTCACGGGCTGGGGATATCTGCATAGTAAGTGGGAGCCAGGAGCCCCCAGGCCTGGGAGG